ATCTCAAAAAGCATCTTGCATATGAATGCAAAAATGTTGATTCGGAAACTAGAATTAAAGTCTTGCACTTGTTATCAAATGATTTTGTTGATTCGGATAATAATACAGCATCAACATCAACTACCAAAACAAGTAAAAGGCAAAAATTAAATATCGATCATGAATATGAAAATATTCCTACTTCGTTAAGTAAGGAAGATCAAATTAACAAGATATTACTCAAAATAGTAGTATGTTGTAATTTACCTTTTGCTCTTGTTGAGCATCCGTTTTTTCAAGAATATACTAAAGCATTACATGCTACTTATCCTATCCCAAGTTATTGAATTGTATCAAATACGCTTTTAGATCAAGAACTTGCTCGTGTTAATATTTAAGTAGAACGAATTATTAATAATGATGTTAATCTTACAATTGCTGTTGATGAGTGGACGAATCCTAAGGGTGAATCTATTTATGATTATTGTATAATTACTGAAGAATGCAAAGAATATCTTTGGTGTTCAAAAAATTATTCTAGCATTCCTCATCATACTGGTGATTTTCTTAGTGAAGAATTTATTAAAATCGTCAGAAATATTGGTCCTGAAAAAATAGCTGCTATTGTATCTGATCATGCAGGAAATATTCGTGTTGCATGAAGAATTCTTTGTGAAAAATACCCTCATATTTTAAATATTAGGTATATTGCTCATTGCATAAATTTAGTTACAGAAGACTTATGTAAACATACATTCATAGTAAGCACAATTCAGAAAGTAGGCAGCATTCATCAATATTTTACAAAATCACATGCTGCATGTCAATTTTTAAAAGAATCAATTGATATATTAAAAATTAAAGGTAGAGATTTAAAGGATCATACCAAAACACGTTGGTCTACTATGTGGGATTGTATTAGTTCAATCATATGACTTGAATTTGCTTTTGCGAGAGTATGCATTAATTATAATAAATTAGTTTTTTTTTTTTACTATATTAATATATTTAATTATTTTATAGGTTCTTTCTAAACATGAAAATGAAATTAAAACCCGAATTAAAGAAATTCTTTATGATCGAGTTTTTTTTGAAAATTGTTGACTTATTGCATCTATTCTTTATCCTCTCAAAATTTCTGTTGGTTGTCTAGAATCAAGAACTTCAAATCTTGCTAATTGTTATACCCATTTAATATTATTAGCAAATGCAATTTACCATGTACTAAATCAAAATATATCATTTAAAAATTATTGTATAGAAAAGTATAATCATTATTGGAATGAATTTTCTAATAATAATTATCTTTTAGCATTTTTTTTGCATCTGCAATATAGTAATCAAATTTATTTTTATAATATATAAATTTTATTTAACAATTATTAATATTAATATACTATGTATATGTATGTATGTATAATTTTTTTTAGAACACAGTATCGATTTGAGAAAATTTTGTGAAATTAGTATAACAGCTGTACAGATTTGGAAAGATATGGGACATGATCAAGAATCATGTAGTAAACTACTTACCTAAATATGAAAATATAAAAGTAATAAGACACCTTTTGATCAATCATATAATCCTAAATCAGATACACCAATTATTTGGTAGAAAACTGCTTAACATATAAAAGAAGAATGGGAATTACAAGTAAGATTGCTAACTACATATCACTATATATAATTTAGTATTTTAACTTTTGAACATACGATAAATATCATAATGATAATAATTATCATTATATAAGCTACAATAAGAATTAATTTTTTTATACGTATATATACGTATACATAGTACATATGCAGTATATTTCAGTATTAGTATAGCTTTATTTAAATATTTTATATACATATCGATATGTATATGCAATTAAAAAACATTACATATTCAATCAAAAATATCGATTTAGTTAGGGTATAATTATTAATTTATTTAACAATTATACGTAGACAAAATAAAAATTTAAATTACTTAAGTTTTTTTTAAATAAATTTTTGTTATTTTCTATAGTATTAATCGTTTAAAAAATTATTATCAGTACTAATTTTTTATATGTACTACTCTAATTATAGGCTTTGGCACTTCAGCTCTTTGCTATAACTCCACATAGTACTTTATATGAGCGTTCTTTTTCAGTTCTTAGCTAGTTTTATAATCAAAGACGTACTAATTTGAATACAGAATGAGTAGAAGTGATATGTAAATTACATACATTTTACATCACTAATGCTAAACAAGAATTACCTTGTTATGCAATCAATATGCCTGAGAATCTATTATGTAATCAAATAATTGATTCTGTTATGGCAATTAATAATGAAACTAGTAGGATCATTGAGTTAAATTCTAATATAGTAGCAGATAATGATAATATTAGTATGGAAATAGATACATCTAAAGTATTTTCTTTAGATATTATGAGAGATATAGATATTGAATCACAAATGTTTAATATAGACCAAAAAGTATATGAAGATAATACAGAAATTAGTTCAAAAAGACAAACTATTGTATTAGCTCTACAACATAATAATTTTGATATAGAAACATTAGCTAGAAATATGTCAATAGTGATTGATGATGATGAAAATTTGAGTTAAAATTGTTATATATATATTTTTATATATATTGATATATTGAATTTATACAAAATAAATTTTGGCTAAATTTTTAGTTATGGCAAAGATTTCAGATTTAACTAATTAATTCAAAGATACTATATAAAGTGATATTATAATTTAGGTCTTTTTACTTTACTAATAAACTGGTATGAGTCAAGAAAGATATCACAGGGACAAGAATTTAATGATAAATAATTCAAAAAATTTAGTGTAATAATTTATAACAATTTAAAAGGATAATTTAGTTAAAGACAAACACTTCTATACAAGACTTTTTAAGACTCAGAAGGTTTTACTTTTCGAACTCTGTGAGTTAATTTTATTCAAGGTAATTTCGCTTTGTATATATACATTTTCTTTACATATAACGAACTAAAGTTATTCTAGCTATTCTAGTTATTCTTATAATTCTAATTTTTCTCATTATTCAATTTATTCTTGCTATTCGAGTCTTTTTGGCTATTGCTATTATTATTGCTATTCAGATCTTTCTGGCTATTGCCATTATTCTTGCTATTCGAATTATTCTTATTATTTTGGGAATTTTGAGAATAGCAAGAATTCTAGAAATTCCAAAAATTCGTGTATAACAATCTTTACTCTAAATTATCCCAACCATCAAACTACAAAATCCACCTACACTTGGATAATCTCTTAGTAATCTATATACTAAAAAACAACTTACCCTACAACTATTTAACACAAACCAAAACAAACAATTGGGATATTATCTACATTTTAAACTACCTTATTCAAAAGAAAAATATCCAATTTACTACTTATAAAACTAAATCACACTCAATAAATTCTTTTCATAATATCGCTGACTCATTAGCTAAACAAGGCACTAACAAAATAGAAATTCAGCTTAATACTCAACTATTCCATTTACCACTCTCCTTTGTATGGAATCAAATTCCCTTACCACTCAAAATACGCAAATTCTATACAAATATTCTCTCAATTCAAACCTTCAACAAACTTATACAACTCAAAACATTTC